ATAACACGTGTCATTCTGTAAACACTGGAAAAGTGGTACACTTGACGTTTTGCAATGTTTCGGGGTGAGCTTACAAATTTCCTGGTTATGTTGTAGTCTGGATGGAAGGAGCCTATGCACACACAACGCAGCATTTCAATTCTCGGTGAAGAGATGAGGACACAGAGACTCACGGAGGGAAGTCACTTGCCCACGCTGAGTCAGCGGGCTCCTGCAGGTTGCTGCACTAATGTTGTTGCTGCGTTAATTCTGAAGACAGGAGATTCTGAGAAACGGAAGTGCAGCAAAGATAGCAAACACAGGGGACCAAAAAGAGGCCTGAGTACATGGACCCCGTGACCTCTTTACCCCTCTGGCTGATTGGCCCTCCTGCTGCCCTTGAATACCCCCTTAGGGAGGCAGCGGGATGCTCTGTAGAGCAGCATCGCACTGCAGGGCTGTGTGGGAGGCTAAGGCAACTAATAAGATAAGTTCCTTCTGTTAGTTTCAAACACCACCTGTATCACCGCAATTCCAGGGTGTGTACCGCACGTCCAGAGCCTTCTTCCCTGAGCTAGAGATCCTTCTACGCGAGTGTTTACTCCCCTGCTCCACTTGGAACCCAGACAGGCTGCACAACTGCAGTAGGACCCAAACTGCACGAATGGTCTTACTCCCCAAATCGGCTTCTCCCCCAGCACTTCCCCTCTCATCAAAGGACCATCCTACCCCAATGACTCATTCCAAAAATCAGGGAATCATCTTTGATACCTCTCTCTGGCTTGTCCCTGCCACTTCCTAATAATGATTAAATCCTATAGAATTTGCTTCCAGATGCCTCTTGAATCCCCCTACTCTTCTCCATACCCACCATCTCCTCCAACCTGTCCCAGTCACCATTGTCACCCAGTGACCTTCGAACTCTCTTCCCCTTCCCCCAGGCCATTGTCCACCTGAGTTCTTTTTGATATGCACATCCATCGCCTCATCCTTCTGCTTAAACTCCCCACTACTTCCCATTATTCTCAGGATAAACTCCACCGATCCTCCTGTCCCCTGCTAGATGAAGCCCCCACCTCCTCTCCAGCCTCATCTGGAGTTCCTACTTGTCCCTCCTCACTCGCTCTTGGAGAGCAGCCTCTCTCTTCTACACAAGACCCGTGTCCCTTCAGCCCTGAGGCAGTCACGCAGTGCTCTTTAGGACGGAGTTAAAATGTCACACTTGAGGCAACTCCTTCCTGACCAACCCCTCAAGACTAGGTCAGGTCCCCACACCCATATTTCTTCTTCATGGCGCTTGTCACAATTGTAATTAAAGGCTTACTAGTGCGACTATTGATATATGTGTCTAAAATTATACCGCAATTTTGTCAAGGCAGAGACCGTGTCTGTTTTATTTCACTGCTGTAATCATGGGCCCTTGCGCAGTGTCAGGCACAGAGCAGAAACTCAGAAAATATGGGTGAATATTGGTATGGAGATCACCAAGAACCTTCACAGACATATCCACTTGACTTCCCACTTTCATTTCCAGGTGGATATTACATGCCTGTTTTACAGATGATCAAACTGACTTCTTTTGAACAAACATAATTTACTCAAGGGCATGAGGATAGTATCGAGATTTGAAGTCAGGACTCCAAAATCTACTTGGTGATATTTTCCTGAAAAGTATATCAGTAAGGCCCCAAAATCACTTGTCACGGCCCAGCTGCCCCCTCTTCTGCCATCTTTGCAGCCGTCTGTGCTTTACCCTGTTCTTTGCCATTTCCTTCAGTTTTATCAAATTCGCAAGCACTTCTTAAAACCCCACACTTAGCTGAGAGTGCACTGAGGGATAAAAAGACCTAGTTTTTTCCTGAAGGATCCACAGTTTGTTAGGAGAAATAACTACTTTAGCTCTCCAACCTTGAATTTTTTGGAACTGCTTCAGCTGTAAGTTACATAAACTCAACTAAAATTGGCTTTAGCAAGAAAAGGAAAATATTGGCTGACATAAACTGCAAAGGCTAGATGTAGTTCAAGCTTCAGGCGTGGCTGTATCCAAGGGCTCATGATGCAGTCACTCTCTGTCTCCATCTCTGGGGTCTTCTTTTCTCTGCTGACTTTATTCTTGACCAAACTCTCTCCACATGGGCAAAGATGGCAGCAACAGGCTCACATTGTTCTTAGTGCCCCACTATCTCAGAAAGAGAGAGCCTCTTTCCCAAGAGCTGGGGATGATGCTCATCACCCGCCTTAGGTCATGAATCAATCATAGTGGCCCAGAGGATGGAATATTCTGGGGACCACATGTCCATTTAGAGCTGGAGTGATGTCAGCACCACTCAAACCACATGATCCCTATGGAGAGAGAAACGGTTCTCTAAAGTGAAATTGGCATGCCATTACAGAAAGAAGGAGAAAGTCAGAGACTCACAATGCACTCTCTCTCTTGGCCTCATGCCCTCAACCACTCCTCTCTTTGGCCGGTCTTCTTCCAAGTTCTTCCTGTCTTACAGGCTTCGCACTTGCTCACCCCCAAGCTGGGAGCCCCTTTCCTCCATATCTTTGCGTGACTTGTTCTTTCTCACACTTCATATTTCTGCTCTAACTATACCTCTCAGAGAGGCCTTCTCAGACCCCCCATCTGAAGTGCCCACTCAGTCATTCTCTCACACATTGTCTTGTTTATTTCCTGGATCTGATGGAGGCTGAACTGCTTATTAGTTTGTCTACTCTGTGTTTTGCTCTCATCAGAATGTAAGCTCTGATCAAGCAGGCATTTCCATTGATTTTATTCACTGTTGAATCTGCAAGGTTCAGAACAGTGCCCAACACAAAATACGTGCTCAGTAAATACTGGTTAGAAAAATGAAAGGAGTCTGTGATGGCAGCCAGTGAGACCCCAAGGAGAGCTTCATGAAGAGGGGGCCCTTAAAAAGAGTGGAATTTTTTTTATTGTGGTAAATATATATAACATAAAATTTACCATTCTAACCATTTTAAAGTGTACAATTTAGAGGCATTAAGTACATTTACAATGTTGAGCAATCACCACCACTATCCATTTCCAGAACTTTTTCACCCCAAACTGAAAAATTATACCCATTCCTCCCAGCCTTCTGGCAACCACTATTCTACTTTCTGTCTCTAAGAATCTGATACTGTAGATAACTCACATAAGTGGAATCATACAATATTTGTCCTTTATTGTTTGGCTTATTTCACTTAGCATAATGTTTTCAAGATTTATCCATGTTGTAGCATGTGTCAGAATTTCCTCCCTTTCCAAGGCTGAATAATATTCCATTGTGTGTATATATCACATTTTGTTTATCCATTCATCTGTTGATGGACATTTGGGTTGCTTCCATCTTTTGGCTATTGTGAATAATGCTGCTATGAACATGGGTGTATGGGTATCTAAGTTCATGCTTTCAATTCTTTTGGGTGTATACTCAGAAGTTGAATTTCAGGATCATATGGTAAATCCATGTTTAATGTTTTGAAGAATTACCAAACTGTTTTCCACAGCAGCGGCACCATTTTGCATTCCCACCAGCAACGTACAAGCATTCCAATTTCTCTGTATCTTTGCGAACACTTGTTATTTTCTGTTTTTGGATTATAGTTGGGTGAAAGAAGGTAGAATTTTGATGGCTAGAGGAAGGATAAGCCAACCTTTCAGGCAACAGAGGATTGGAGGGGCTTTGGTATAAGGTGGATTCAGTCACACATAGTCTGACGTCATAATCTAGTTGTGGTTCTGTTTACCTCCCTCTCCTGAAAATAGATCAATTCCGTAGAGTATTGGAAAGCCTTTGCCTCCTGGGTACCCTCCAATGTTGCCAGGGTTCATGTTGGCTGAGGTGTGCTGGGATACCAGCAGCTCACTGTGAGAAAGGGTGAGCCATGGACAGGGGCACTGACATACAGGCAGGTTGGCCAGCCACCCCATCACTATGACTGGGGACTGTGACCAAAACAGCCTGCATCATGTAGGTCAGGATTCATCTCAAAGGCAGGCGTGGCAGAGGGACACATCAGCAGGACTCTCCGTGTGGCAGGGGCACCTGGACTTGGAAGGGCAGGAGCATCGTCATCCCCTTGGCAGAAGGAGGGGTAGGTACTGTTTGCACTGAAGCTGGTCCCCAGCCTCAAGAAAAAAGTTGTCTATGCGCAAAAAGGAGGGGACACAAAGGCCAGTTGAGGTCTGGCAACCACCCTGCTGGGCCACAGCCCACTGAATGGAGTAGGGCTCAAGGCAGCGTTCTGTGGGCATGAAATGGAGCATCAGTCAAGAACTTAGGGGGTCACGCACACAAGATAGGGTGAGCTCAGAGAGCTCTCCAGTGCCCGGGCAGTAAGGTGAAGCCCCTAGGATTTCAGGGCTGGGGGGCGAGGGCCAGGGTTGGACCTACAAGCTGCTATTGTTCAACTGGGAATGCAGAATCTCACAACTTTACCCTGGCTGCCCCCAATTTCCACCAGAAAACATAGTTGGTGCTTCTGAATGAGACTGCCTCTAAGGCCTGGGCATGAGCCTTGCTTCCTGAGGGCAGTTCAGGGCCCTGTTCAGTGGGACCCATGTGCTGGAGCAGCTCATCCTGGCTCTGAGAGCCCATTCAGTGCACATCTTGGCAACTTGGTGTCAGTGACATGATATTGATAGCTCAAAATGAGCCAGGAGGGAGCATTTACAACACAGAAATTGACAAATGCTATAAATTAGGGCTTATTTGCCCCACAAAGGTGATTGTTAAACATACCAGCATGCCACTTGCCCTGCTATCAGACTTCTGCTTGAGAGATAAAACAGCTCTAATTCCTCCTGAGTCCTGCTCCAGCCCACTGTCCCAGGGCCCCTGCCCACCAGCCCATTTATCCCTGCTGCCACCACCATTCCCTGGATGATTGCATAATGTGCAAGTTGGGGCTAAGAGGACTGGGCGTAGCGCTTGGTTGGCACAGCTTTGGGGACAGTGGCTGTTTTCCCTGCCAGTGGCAGAAGCGGAGCTAACCAACTTGTCTGTGTCTAGGTCGTCTGTGATGGCAGGTGTGGTGTACCCCAGACAGGTGAGTGCTGGGAGATTCTGTCCCTGTGACCATCTCAAGATTGGGCAGCCTCAGCAAGCAGCCCTCCGGGGGAGGAACAGGCTCTTTGGGTCTCCCTCTGGTTATCATTCTGGAACAATGGATTTTTTTTGAAACAGGCAGGGGAAAGCTAAAGGTTTACAGTTTTCAGGGGGTTCATTTATGTATTCAGAATGCATTTATTGGGCATCCTCGGTGTGTCGGGCACCATGCTGGGCTTTGAGGCTGAAGAGACGCCTAAGATCAGGTCCTCATCTAGTGAATTTCATTAACTCATTTATAGTACGCCACAATAAGTGCTGTAGCGAGGCATGTAGAATGTACTATGAAAGCAGAAGAGAAAGGGTTTAATTCTTGGGAGGTGGAGAAGAAAATGGTGGGAGAGATGTTTTGGAGATGTGACATTTAATCTAGGTCTTAGAGGATATGTAGGAGTTTGCCAGTCAGCGAGGAGTGCAACTAGTGTTTCTAGCAGGAGATCAGAGCATGTGCCAGGCACCTGTGAAGAGTGGAAAGAAGTGAGGCGCGAGTGCAGAGGGCCCAGAGGGGAGCCCAGCAGGTGAGAAGTAAAGGCCAGCAGAAGGCAGATCATGACAGGCTCCGAGTGCCAGGCCAACAGTTGGCCTTTGTCCTGCAGACAGTGAGAAGCCACTGAATGCATTTAAGTGGAAGAACAAGATGGGATCTATTGTTTTGTATTCTCCTTGTCCTTAAGGCCCCTGTGGACTTAGACATTTACCAAAGCTCCTACATGGTCAACTATAAACCGTACGGGAAGCACAAATACTCCCAGGTCACATCGCAAGAGGTAAGCAGTCACTCAGTCTTGTCTGTTCAATTGCCCACTGGAATCTTGATTTCATTTTTATTATGTATGTGGACATTGGGGGCACTTAGAATAATATCCGATGCCAGGAGATCTAAGGGGATTTCTATGTGTATGTGTGGGTATGTTTTAAAATATACATTAACATATGTTGTGCAAACAAAAGAGTGTAAATAACATACAATTACAGTTTAAATAATATCGATAAAATAAGCACCAATGTACCCATTATCAGCCAGCTTTGAACATAGCACATTAACAGTGCCTTAGAGCCCCCGTATGCACCTCCCTGCTCTACCCCTCCCCCACCTCCAGAGGTAGCCACTGTTCCGAGTTATGGGTTAATCATTGCCGTGTGTGTGTGTGTGTGTGTGTGTGTGTGTGTGTTAAATACTTTACCCTGTGTGTATATATCCCTCTAAACAAATTGTTCAGGTTTGCCTTTTTTGAACTTTATTATATATTGGGTCATACTATTTGTACTCTTCTGTGACTTTCATTTTTTCTAAACATTATGGCATATTATTCATTTTCTGCTGTGTTGTATGACATTGCATGAATATGCCGCCGTATATTTGTCCTTTCTCCTGTTGGTGGACATCTGAGTTTACTGTTTTGTTACTCCCGACCCCCAAATACTGGAGATGAGTATCAACGGAGATGAGGCGCAGCCTCATGTGCAAGAGGTCACCCATCCCAGGAGTGGAATTGCTTGTCGTAGGTGACGTTGCTGTTCTCCAAAGTGGTGGCACTGGTTTACTTTCTCACCAGCAGATAGTCCTGTAGCTCTCCAATGTTGCCATTATCACACTTTTTAATTTTTGTCAATTTGGTGGGTTTGAAATAATATTTTCTTGTGGTCATAATTTTCATTTCACTGATTATTAATGAAGTTCAGCATCTTTTCATTTAATTTGGATATTTATTATTCTGCTCATGTCTGTTCGTGTCTTTTGCCCATTTTTCTATCGAGTAGCTTGCCTTTTTCCTATTAATTTATTGGAGTTCCTTAAATATTCTGGACATCTTCCATTTGCCAGTTATGTAAGTGGCAAAACTCTTCTCCAGTTTGTGGTTTGTCTTTTCATTCTATCTTTCAGTGAATAGAAATTCTTATTTTAATATAGCCAGATGTATCAGCGTTTTCCTTTTTCGTTTGATCTTTTTAAGTCTTGTTTAAGAACTCTTTTCCTACCTTGAGGATCTCCACTAAAAATAATAAGATCTATACAAACAAAGGTGGAACAATTTCTGAGATGCATTATTTAATGGAAGCAAAGTGCAGAGTGGAATTATAATATGCATCATTTGTGTACAAACCAGGGGTGTGGATATATACGTATGCGCTTATGTAAAATATTTCTAGAATGATGCCAAAAGCACTGATGACAGTGGTTGCCTCTGAAGATGGCAACCAAGGGAAAAGGAGAATGGGAAAGAGACTTACTTTTCAGTGTAAACCCTTTTGTATTATTTCAGTATTTTCTTCTGTTGTATATATTACCATCCAAAAACTCATTGGAAACTTTAAAAAATAGAGAAAAGTGTGCTCTGTCTTGGGTACTTCCAAGCAAGCTGCATCATCTTTCATCTCTCTCAGTCCTTCATTCATGTGTGGTTTGTTTCCGCAGCAAATGAAGCTGGACACCCAACTCCGGAACAAAGAGTTTTATAGGCCAATCCCCAGCCCCAACCCCAAGCTGGAGGATGGATACCCTGCCTTCAAAAGACCTTTCATGACTGCCAAAGACCTGGGACGCCCTGGTTTCTTCCCGTCACAGGACCTGGTGACCACTGCGGAGGACGAATGCAGGTTCACCAGTATCTGCCCTTCCATGTACCCAGTTTCCCATGCTCTGTACCTGGCCCATGGTGACCCAAACCTGGTCCACCAGAGCGCCGACTTTCCATGCCTGCTGGAGCCCCAGCGCCAGCCTGCTGCAGAGGAGGACAAAGGCTACATCCTACTGCCTGGCTGCTCCTGTCCTCATCACTGTAGAGTCAAGGTCCCCATCTTGAACCGATGGGGGCCCTTGATGCCATTCTACCAGTAGGAAGGTGAGAATGCCTTCCAGGGGCACTATGGAAATCCTTCCCTCTGACAAGGAAATCCCTGCTCTGCCCTCGGAGTACAGAGAGGAGAAGCGAAAATAAAACCTGGGAAAGATGTTCCAGCAGCACAGGGACTGTACTTGTTCCACCTTGCTCCCTGCCTGCCCTGGGACACAGCATCCCCAACCCAGAAGGAGGGAGGGAAGGAGGGAGGTGGGGAAAGAAGGAAAATGGGTATGTATGGAGGGCTGGATTTGTGTGATGGTTCATTATAATTGAGTCCTGCTGTAAAGACTCTTACTGTTTTAGGCATTTACTTACAAAATGGGAAAAATCATGTTTCCCATAGTCATTTGAATGTTGGGTGTGATTGTAAAACTTGAAATACTGTTGGATAACTTTTCCCCTCGATACTCTTATTTTAGTTTATTCACGACTCCCATCCCTGTAGCGATCAACAGTAACCATTTAGAGGGCATCATTTCATACTTTTCTTCTTGCTCAGTGGAGCTTTTGTGAACATATACATGTGTGAGTCAGTTAGGATATAGGCTGAGCTGCCGTAACAAACAGAACCAAAATACAGTGGCTTGAACAACACACTAGTTTCTGTCTTGTCTAACAGTTTGGAGGTAGGCAGTCGAGGAGGGTGGAGCATCTTTGCTGTGGCTTTTGTCTCTGAGTCTAAGGTGGCTGCTATAGACTAAATTGTGTCTCCCCCAAATTCGTATGTTGAAACCCCAACCCCCAAAGTGATTGTATTTGGAAATAGGGCCTTTAGGAGGTAAATAAGGTTAAATGAGGTCTTACGAGTAGGGCTCCAATCCAATAGGATTGGTGGACTTCTAGAAAGAGGGAGAGAAAGAGAGCCTCTCTCTCTCTACACACACACACACACACACACACACACACACACACACAAACCCAAGGAAAGGCATTGTGAGGACACAGTGAGAAGGTAGCCATTTGCAAGCCAAGAAGAGAGGCCTCACCAGGAGCCAAACTCTGCCAGCACCTTGATCCTGGACTTCCGGCCTGCAGAACTGTGAGGAAAGAAATTTCTCTTAAGCTACCCAGTCTATGGTGTTTTGTTATGGCAGCCTGAGCAGACTGATATGGTGACATTCAGCTGTTGACACTTTTCAATTGGCAGAAAGCAAGAAACGCCCAGGGGAATACAGGTGCATTCTCTTTTAGGGGCACAATGCAGAAATCATATTCTTCACTTCTAGTCATGTCATCTTGGCTAGAGTTTAGGCGCATGGTCCCACTAAACTGCAAGGAAGGCTGGGAAATATAATCTTTATCCTGGGTGGCCACGTGCCCACCTAAAAATGAAAAGTTATTAGTATAGAAGGAGAGGATGGATTTTGGTGGATAACCATCCACTTTTGCCACAATACATGAGAAGCCTTTCCCAATGGGAAAAGCTCTCTTCCACCAGCGCTTCCCTAGGGAATCTTGTTACAATGCAGATTCTGGTTCAGTAGCTGTAGAGTCAGGGCAAGATTCTACATTTCCAACAAGCTCCCAGGTGATGCCAATGCTGCTGGACACTAGACCACACCTCAGTAATGAGGCTATACAGAAGACAGCTTCCTTTTCTCTTCACAGGTCATTACTCACAGATCTAATCATTTTCAATGGCTGCACGATATTCCATTGAACTGACAGATCTTGATTCATTAAACTATTTCCCTATTGGTAGATAGTCATGCTTTTCCAATTTCCTCCCTACAAATGCTGCAATAACTACTCATGAACATACATCCTCACAAATGATGCTTTTGTTTCTGTAAGACAGAATCTTACAAGCACTGGGTTCACGCTGGGTCAAAGGGGATGGGTATTTAGTATGAACAGACACTGCCAGCACAGCCCACTCCCTGCCAGCTGTGGGTCCTGGTGCCTCTTTTCCCAGCTCCTCATCAGCACATGGATATTATCAAGCTTTTTAATGTCTTCCAATTTGATAAATAGAAAACGCTATCATCATGATTTCAATTTGCAATTACCTAGATATTACGAGATATAGGATCTTTTTTGTATTATTAGCCATTGGGTTTCTGAGTTGCATCTTTTTCTCTTGAGTTGTTTATCTTTTTTCTCATGAATTTATCAATGTGATATTGCACATTAGCTATGTTAGCCCTTCATCGAGCCATGTTCCACATATGTTTTCTCTTTAATTTTAAATATGTAATCTGAACAAATTTTTTTCTAGTATAAAATTAATACCTTCAGTAGAAAATTTTGCAAAGTGAAGAAGGATGTGAAGAAGGAAAAGAAAAACCCCCTCTAACCCCACTGCTCAGTCAGTGACAATCACTGTCAACATCTGATGCCCAGGGCAGCAGAACAATGGTTAAATTCTTGAGCTGTAGAGCCAGACAAAACTGGGGTTCCACCCAGACCTGAGTTTACTACTTACCAGCTGAGGGGTACTCTAGAAAGGTACTTCTTCTCTCTGAACAGCAATTCCTCATCTGTAAGAGGCATTAATCTCCTATCTCTTGAGGGAACGCTGTTTGCACAGCGCCTGAGATATAGTCAGTGCTCAATGAGACATTTTATATATATCTTTACAAATCTCACTGAACACCTAACTTTAAATTCTGCTTGGTCTTAGTTGCATTAACTATAAACATTGCCACTCAACTTTAAAACTTTATAAGTATCTTTGCACAAACGTACCATAATTACTCTTGTTAGACATAGCTGTTTCCAATTGTGTACTTTTCTCTTACAAATATGGCTACAACTTTTCTTCTGTAATTCGATAGAAAAAGAGAGGTGTAGTTACTGAGTCAGTGTATGAATATGTTCTTGAGGCATATTGCCAAACCACTTTCTAAATAGGCATATTTCTAATATTAAGGAATCATTAGTAATTTTGTTAGGTGTGATAATGGCATTTTGCTTATGTTAGAGATACTTCATTTTGAAATATTTACGGGAGAGATGATGTCTGAAATTTACTTTAAAATGCTCTAGCAAAATGACCAGTGTTATTATACTAGGGGAATGTGTGAAATAATATTAACAAGGAAGTGAAAGTTGTAGCTGGGCAATGGGTACGTGGAAGTGCATTACGCTACTCTCTCTACTTTTGCGTATGCTTGAAATTTTCCGTAATAAAACATTAAAACAGTAAGAAAGGAAGGAAGGGAGGAAGGAGGAAAAGGAAGAAAAAAGAAAGATGTACCCCTTTAGATGACCACTAGCCATCTATAAGTGCGTCTAATTCATAATATCCTTGTCATCCTTGCTACTCTCATTAAGAAAGAAAAAGAAAGAAGGAAGGAAGGAAGAGAGAGAGAGGAAGACTGTTTGATAGAAGAGTCTCTTTGATCCCCAGGAGGCTGAATAATTTTGTAAATGATCGTTATCTCTCATCAGTTGTAAAATGCTTCCTTACCAGGGTGTTCCCTTCTCCTTTACCTGTGACAATCTTTAGTGAATCTGTTTTAACCCGAATGCCTTCTAAGGTGTCTACAAAAGGAAGTGTCTATGGACGAAAGTTCACTAATCTCAATGTTTGTTAATAACATTTTTTTGAGTGTTCGGTCATGTGGATCAGCTGACAGTTCTAACACATAATTGATTCCATAAAACAATTTAATTGAGGTGAAAACGTTAATAACAATAGCTACTTTTTACCAATCACTTATTCTATGCCAGACTCTTTGTTGCACACATCGTGGGCGTGATTTCATTCTCATATACAGATGAAGAAACAGAGGTTCGGGGAGGTTAAGTGCCTGGCCCAAGGCCACATGTGGCAAAGCCGGAATTTGAATCCCAGATCTGATTCCAACCCCAGGGTTTTATTCGTTTTTGGAATGTCGCATGTCGTTTTTATCATAAATAAATGATGGAAAGCCCTTTAAAACGGTAGTTGTTTTGCTTTCTAATGGCCAGGTTTTGTTGATTAACCAGCCATTGGTGTGAACAACTGCCTGCACTGAGAAGATCGGTCCAGAGCTCTCTTTCAGGAGTTCTGAATGTGAGATGTCCAGGAGGTCATAACCTGCATCACAGACTTACAAGGGATGTGACTGGCCGTGCTTGCGATGTAAAATGGATCACAGAGATGTGCCTGGATGCCACCATAGGAGTGGATGGAGCGAGAAAGCCAGCTGTGACCTGGGTCCCCTGGAACAGGAGAGGACCATGGCAGGGGAGCCCAGGGAGGGATCCGCTCAAGAGAGGATGAGCCGAGACCCCAACATGCTGCATCTGAGGTGCTTCCCACAGAGAGGCCTGAAGGCTGATAAACTGGACTGCGTCTGGGAAAGAGCCACTGAAGTCCCGAGTTCTGCCTCAGAAATCTCTCTGACTTGGCCCTCATCCAGACCCCAGGGCAGCAGGCTTCCTCTCCCGGCATCTGGGAGCGCCCCCTGCAGTTCCTCCCCATGTTACCCGCTGAGAAATACAACACCCGGCTGACTATTTCTCCTCTCCCTGATAGCCGCTCCTCTGGGGCCCTTCACATGTGGCACCAACCCTCCCAAGCTCATCTCCCTGCCTTACCTACACGCACACTCAGCATTTCCCACCTCTGTGCACCTGTGCACTTGCTGGTCCTTTCTGTCTGCCAGACAGCCCTCTCTCCTGCTTCCCCGCAGCCGAATTATTGCCTCCTCGGAAAGCCTGTCTTGACACTCTCCTAACAGTTTGCTGTTCCTGCGTGTTCCCACATCCCTTCATTCCAACATCTCTTAGAGGGGCGCTGTGGGGATTACATGGTGAACACCTAGAGCCTGGCAGATAGTAAAGGCTCAATAATTGTTAGATCTTTTTAAGCTTTATTATCTTTAGAATGCTTACTGTTGTATTTATCTCTGAGAGTGTTTTATTTATCTTCGCTGCTCCTGGAACCTGGCACAGAGCAGATGCTCAATAAGTACTGAAGGAATGATTGATGGGGTGAGAGGGAGAACGGCTTTCCAAGGGGAGGCACTGGAATGAGCTGGCCCCGGCCAGACCTCCAGGCATTGTCTGTAGCTGCTCTCCAAGATTGTGTGTCCAGCAGCTTCAGGCTCCCTGCTGGGTTCTGGGTCGCCCTTCAACCAGGAAAGCTCTCACTACCTGGCAACGTCAGGTGAAGTTCCTTTGG